TTTTTTTTTTTTTTTTAATGTCTTTATTGATTTCAGAGGGAGGGAGAGAGAGAGAAACATCAATGGTGAGAGAGTCATTGATCGGCCGCCCCCTGCTGGGGATCGAGCCTGGAACCCAGGCACATGCCCCAGACCCTGAATCTAACCGGGATCTCCTGGATCCCAGGTCGATGCTCAATCACTGAGCCCTGCCTTTCTTAAAACACAGAGGACATTAAAGGGTCTGGCGGGAGGACTGAGGCAAGGAGAGCGCCTCCGAAAGGAGCGAGCAGGGAAGGCGGCCAGCTGGGAAGCGGTTGGCAGGAGCCCAGGCGCCGCTGTGGCAACATCCCCAGGAGGGGCGTCCAGGGCCTGGCTCGGTTTGCATCTCGGGAGGCCCAGGGGAACGAGGTTCTGCATGTCTTACCCCCTTTTTAAAGGCTGAATCTGTCCGTCCTTCCCCCTCGCCTCCTTCACGTATTTCCAGAGCACCTGCTGGGGGGACGCCCTGGAGACGTGGTGGGAAGAAGTGGTGGTTCTTTGGTGGCCAGTGGGCCACATACTCGGGGACGACCCACGGCGACCTCTGCTTGACCCGTCACCTCCAAAGCACAGCCTGTTCCCCAGGCCTTCCAGCAGAACGGGGGGCCTTTCAGCGGCCTTAGGGGAGAACTGGCCTCACCCCCTTCGGCTCATACTTTGTGAGCCTGAAGGAGTCACATGCCCACTGAGGGGACATCGTTTCAATACAGTGTGATCGAAGCAGCCTGGGCGGACAGGACAGGAACCGGCCAACCTCGCACTTCAGTTTTCTTTCTTCGGCCGCCCCTTAATTTCTGTGGCGTTGTGCTCCCCCGACTCCGCATCTCAAGCATGTTTGAGCCTTTGCTCCCTGAGCGCAGTCTCCATCTCTGACCTTCTGTTTCTTCCTCTCCCGTACCCGGAGGAATTTATCGTGGGTCTGTTCTGTCCAATAGCATCCTCCAAATCCTATAAACTTAGGGGAGGAATTTATTGAAAAATATACGAGCAGCCCAGAGATTGCGGGGGGAGCTGAGAAGTCGTATTTGGAAACTGGCTCGGTGTGTGGACACCCAGGAGGCCGTTGCTCTGGCTCACTCCTTAACTCTTCCTGCACCTTCGAGCGTCTCTAAGACTCAGAGTCCTGCCCTGGCCGGTTTTCTCAGTGGTTAGAGTGTCGCCCGAGCACCAAAGGGTTGCAGGCTCGATTCCCAGTCGAGTGCATGGACCTGGGCTGCAGGCTCTATCCCCGGCACATGCGGGAGGCGGCCAATCGGTCCCCCCCCCACGCCCTCCCCTCACTTCCTCCCACTCTCTTTAAAAATCAATGGGAAATATATCCTCAGGTGAGACTGACAACAGACTCCAAGTCCTGAGCAGAAGCGTCTGACTGACCTGGTCTTGGTGCAGCCTCACAGTCCTGCCACTGGAGGCAGAGGCAGGTGCCACAGGCCTCTAGGCTCCACACTGAGAAGTAGAGCCCGGCCCCCACCAACATCCACGGGGGGGGTCTTCCAGAATAGGAACGTGTCGGGGGTGGGACCTATCAACCAGCAGGTCCCTCCAAGTACCTCGACCTGCCTGTACTTTATCTGGAAACTCGGGCTCCTGCTGGGTCTCAAATGTCCTCCTGCCCTTTCTCTCCTCCGACCCCGTCCTTCCGGGTGCCCTCAGAGCCTCGCTCCGGGTGCCCCTCGGCGCTCCGAGCCTCCGGGGGACGCGAGCTGGTCGCACCACTTCCCTCCCCTCCTCATACTTCTTCAAGGGTCACCGGGGTACTGGTTGCAAACGCAGAGCCCGCGGGTCCCTCCCTGCCCCATGGCCCCGCTTGCCCTCCTGGAGCAGGGTCCAGAGCTCGTGCTTTCCAGCCGGGAGCCCGGTGACTTGGACAAGGGCAGTGGCTGTTGTCTTCGAGGAACAGGGCCCTCCTGCCCTCTCAGGTCTTTCCTGCTCGTTCCGGACGAGGTGCCTTCGCTGGGGCCCAGCTTTCCTGCCGCCCGCCTCCGCCCCTGGCTTCCCCACCCACCTGTCTCACCGCCCTAGCGGGGCGCGTCCCCAGCATGCCGTGTGGTGACACCAGGGAGGCGGGGGGGCTGGCTCTCCACTTGCCTCCTCCCTAGAGATTCGGCTGCATTTCCAGAAACTGGGTCCCGCGTGCCCGCTCCGGGGGGACAGTGTTAGATGCCTGCAGGGCCACGGGCGCTCACCAGCCCGGACAGGCGCTCACCAGCTGGGACGGCCGCTGGCTGTGCCACCAGCCCTGACCCTGCGCACCCTGAGCGTCGTCATCAGGTTAACAGGGTCTCTCCGGCATGTTCCTGCCCCCCAGCTGGCCTTCCCTGGGGCGCCGCCTGGGCTGCCAGAGGGGCTGCGGGGCCCTGCCCAGGGTGCTCTGCAAGGGGCACGACCTGCGGCCACATCCACCCCCTGGTTTGGTGCATGATGACCCCCCCCCTTCCTCTGGACATCTTCCCTTTCCGACCTCATGGTGGCTCAGGGCTCGCCTGTGCCTGCAGCTGGTCACTAATTACTCGGTGGCCCTGTCACCGCCACGGCCCAGAACCGCTCTCCTGCCTCCCTCCGGCCGGCGCAGCCTTAGGGGAAGGGCCCTGCACGCCCAGCGTTTCCCATGCGGGGGGGAGAGTGACCCTGTGTCTCACACTTCACGTATCGAGGAGGTTTTATGTCCCTGCTCACCTTGACGTGTTCTTTGGGGGCTTTAATTTAGAAGTTGAAAGGGAGGGCTCAGTTCCTGGGTTCTTTGACCTGTTGGAGGAAATCGTTAGCAGCAAAGAGCTGAGACGGCGCGTTTGTCCTGGGAGCGTTCCGGGTCATTAATGTGACCTAACCTCCCCCCAGGAGGTGTGTGACCTCTGCCTGACCTTGAGCGAGGAGAGCGCTGCCCGGCAGCCGTGAGCGCTCGGGGCGCAGCATCTCCGCTCCTCGCCGCTGTGCGTGGAGCACCAGGCTTCCTGGCCAGGGACCAGCCGTCCCGCAGGCGGCTCAGTGCAAGAGCTGAGCCCGGAGCCCGGAGCGCTTCCCGTACATGCAAGTGTGGCTCATAACCCACGTGGGTGAGAAACACCACCTTCCTGTATGTTGTCTGAGCTGCTCTAATTTTGATGCTGACAAATTCAACGTGTCGCCCTAAGGGCTCCCCGTGTCGTGGTGGTGCAGCGTGGAGGCCCCTGGCGCCTGCCATCTGTGGGGTCGTCACCGAGACAGTGGCCCTGGCCCCCATCCCCCCGCGCCCGAGGGCTCTCTGCCGGGAGGCAGGGATCTCCGGCCAACTGGACCAGCGTCCTGCCCCTGCAGGAGGAGCCCGCTGTCCCCCGTCTCCTCGGAGGCTCCTCCTCGCCAGTCCACCCCTCAGCCCAGGGGCAGCTTTTCTGCTCAGAAAAACCCGCCTCCCCAATCCACTCGACTTCACCCCTCCAGCCGTGTTCTTAGACTGAATTACTAGCAACAAAACTTTAGCTGACCTTTCCCGAGAACGGGGGGGGGGGCTCGGAAAGTGATTTGGGGGGTTGCACCCCCTCCTTCTCATGTAGCAAAGAAAAAGTAGGGGAGTCCGACCCTGGAAATCTCGAGTGCCGCCGCCTGGGCATTCGTTCCGTTCCCGTGTCCAAACCTGAACCTCGCTCCTGCTCGTGGCCCGGTGCCGACTGGACCCTGGACACGCGGTCACGCGTCCGAGGCGCCCCGCAGGCCGTCGGCATCAGGCAGGGCTCTAGGTCGCGTTCAACAGCAGCAGCAAAACGATTCTGGCAGATTTTAAGCAAAAAGGGTCCGGGGGCATCGGGGAAGCCCCCACGGAAACAACAGAAGTCACGTGGAGCGAGCCGGCTCCATGGGGCGTCGGAAACGGAGACACTGGAGAAGGGGAAGGGAGCAGAGGGGCCTGCCGGCGCCGCCTCCCAGGGCCCTGCGGGGCACTGCGGGGCACAGGCGGGCGTGTCCACGCGCAGCTCCGGCTTGGGGCCGACCGCTCCCGGCTGGGGCGGTGACAGCCACACGCTGTATTTTAGTTAAGTCGTGGCTGCCACCCGGTGGGGCAAGGTCTCCAACAGGCTCCTGTCAACACTGAACCGACGAGATGCACAGACGCACGCGCCCCTAGTCGGCTGCATGTCTGGGTGCCCGGAAAAATATTCGGAAATAGTCCGGTTGCTTAGGGGACTTAGAGACACCACGGATGCAGCTGTCTGTGGTGAGTATGTGGCGTCAGGGTGTGTCTGTCCGCGCACAGGACTGCGCATTCAGCAGACGGCCTGAGCAACGGCAGAGCCTTCTAGGTCCTTCCCAGCTGAGGCTGTGCACGGCTACCCAGAGCTCGGGGGGACAATTCTTTTTGTTACTTTATTTTATTAAAAAAAAAACTCAAGGTGAGAAAAACGTCTCCATTTAGTTTTATTTTTCAATTACAGTTCACAGTATTATTTTATAGTAATTTCAAGTATACAGCATAGTGGTTAGACAACTGTACAATTTACAAAGTGATCCCCCAATAATTCTGGTACCCAGCTGGCACCATACACAGTGTTACAACAGAGCTGACTTCCCTGTGCTGTGCTTTACGTCCCCGTGACAGTCCTGTGCCTGCCAGTCGGTGCTTATCGACCCGTGACCCTCTGCACTGCCCACCCTCCCACCTGGCAACCGTCAGTGTGCTCTGTATCTGAGTCTTGTGTTTTCATTTTACGCTTTAGATTCCACACGTAAGTGAAATCGCATCGTATTTGTCTTTCTCTGTCTGGCTTTTTTCACTTAGCTTAATACCCTGTAGGTCCATCCATGGTGTTAGAAATGGAAATTTCCTTCTTTATGACTGAGTAGTCCTCTCTCTCTCTATACACACACACACGTGCTTTTTTGTCTACGCGTCTCCTGATGGGATGGGCATTGGGCTGCTTCCAGATCTCTGCTATTGTAAATAACCCTGCTGCGAACGTGGGGGTGCACATATCTTTTTGAATTAGTGTTTCTGGTTTCTTCAGATAAATACTCAGAAGTGGGATCACTGGGCCATAGGTAGTTCTGTTCTTAATTTTTGGAGGACCCTCCACACTTTCCCACAGTGGCCGCACCCGTCTGCATGCCCAGCAGCGGTGTGGAGGGTCCCCTTCCTCAGCAACCTCGCCAGCACCTGTTTGTTGATTTGTAGCCACTCTGACAGGCGTGAGGTGCGACCTCATTGTGGTTTTAATTTGCATCTCTGACGACCAGTGATGCTGAGCATCTTTTCATATGTCTCCTGGCATCTGCATGTCCTCTGGAGAAGTGTCTCTTCAGGTCCTTTACCCATTTTTTAATTACATTGTTTTTTTGGTGTTGGGATGTGTGATTCCTTTATAAATCTTGGGTAATAATCTCTTATTGGATGTATCATGGGCGAATTTTTTCTCCCATTTAGTAGGTTGTCTTTTGATTTGGTTGATGATTTCCTTTGCTGTGCAAAAACTTTTCAGTTCAATGTAGTTCCATTTGTCTATTTTTTCTTTTGCTCCCCTTGCCCGAGGATATAGCAGAAAAATATTGCTACGAGGGATGTCAGAGTTTACAGTGTTTTCTTCCAGAAGTTTTATGGTTTCAGGCCTCACATTTAAGTCTTCAATCCATTCATCGTTTCCCATGTTTATCATCTAAGAATATAACCAGCTATCATTCACTAGCCTTTAAAAGAAATATTTAAGGTCTGATCTTTAATCTTTCATCAGTTCCTTTTACGGGTAGTTAAAAGTGCTTCCCAACACTTGGGCTAAATCAGCATTGTGTGTTCGATGTCCCAGTTCTCAGGGACAGCTGTCAGTCTACTAGAAAGGTCTGATTTCATAATTGCGGGGATCTCGGGCCCTGTTTTGCAGGGACGGCGTTTGTTTTGATCTGGGTAGAATTAGGTCCGAGGGGATCCAAGGTGTCCTTGGGTCTGTTTCCCTCTCCACTGCCTGTGAGGACGACGTTGCTGTGACCTGCTTTACGTACAGTGGTGACGTCACACCTGAGCTCCGAGCCTCTGGGGGCCAGGCCAGCGGAGAGGAACCGATCCCGGGTGCCTGGAGCACTGTTCTGAGATGGGCCATCAGAAAAGAAAACGATGACTGAGCGAAACCTGCTGCGGGCAAGGAAGGGCTCACGTGTGCGTTCAGGGAATTTTCCATTTCACACACATTGACTCCCTGGGAACGCTTGGCCTTGTGCCTTCAGGTTTCATCTCCCCCAGGTGTAAGGATCACTTATTTTATTCTGAATACAACTCACTAAGACCCAGTGCTCCCATTCCCAATGAAGTTAAACTGATTTTGTCCCCAGTAGGATCACATCCTGCTGTCCCTGGTAGGCCAGTGCTCTCAGCACGCGGATAGACGCAAGCTGATTATCGAGTGCCGGCGTGGTAGGTCACACCGCGCTGGCCCAAGTTTAGGAAAGCATGTGCTCCAGGCAGAACTCCTGCGCGCACACGCGAACACACATACATTTTAAAAAGTCCTTTTACACATTCTACCCTACCCCTGGGTGTGTTTTTCCAATCTAGAATAGATTTCTTGGTGCTTTTCAATTTAGAATAAAACTATTAGAGTACTGTGTGTGTGTGCGCGCGCTAGGTCACAAGACAGTGTGTTTCTGGTGGGTTGCGGCGAATATATTTGAAAGTCACCACTCAGACCACACCCTTTATAATCACAGTGCTGGGCAGAGAAGGGTGGTCTTCTTTTTGCTAAATATCCACTTATTGACACTCGTAAGATTTTCAGGGTCAACAGCACATGCATTCTTTTGTGGTAAAATCTTAATAACAGTGGGCACATTTCTTTTACATGCTGTGACTACATTTCTAGTAAGGAGTACGCGGCGGCTGAGCCCGACTTGTGAGGTAGAGAGTAACACCGGGCGCCGAGAATGCCCGCGCCTGGCCGGCCACCCGGCCTCTCTCCCCTCCTGTGCAGGTGGGGTTCGGGGCAGCGGCCTGAGGGTCTCGGGCAAGCTTCTCTGCTGGAGGCTCTGAGTTAAATGAGCTGAAGGAGCCACTGCCGGCCAGTCTTCCCCGGGCTGCTCTGCTTTCCTGTGCTGGGAGTGGGGAGCTGGGCCATGTGTGCACAGGAGCTCTGGGCTCTGCGCTTGTGCTGAGGAGACGTGGACAGGCCTGGACTCTGCCCCCGGCCACAGCACCGAGTGCGCAGGCTGTTTGGATGCCTCTCTCCCTCCCCCGGGTTCCTCCTCCACCAGTGAGCTTTACTCCCCCTACTCTAGCAGGGCCTGCTCTCTCTCCAGCTTGTAAAGCTCTTGGAAAGCAGTCTACCCGCCTTTCCTTTAAGTCCTGCAAGGTACACAGGTCTACACCTAGACGGGATCACAGGTAAGCACCTGGCACGAGGGACCTAGAGTAACTCCCCTGGGAGAGGTCAGAGAGCGTGTCAGTAATAGTCCAGGTTGTTCCCCGAGTCAGGTGAGTGAAGGGCTGTCCTGACCAATCGTCCTCTGAGCAGGTCTCTTAAATACAGAAACACTAATATGAGACAGGTAGTAATGAAATAGTTGAGAAAAGACTGTTTTCTTCGATACCGACACAGACGTGCACATGAACTAAACATTTTCACTTGGCACCTGGGTTTCGTCTCACACGCACTTGCACAGGTAACGACGGGTCGCAGGGCTGCCTGTGTGCACCTGCGGGTGGTCCAGCAGGTGGCCCCTGGTTCTCCACGCTCCGGCACCGCAGGGCAGGGCCGGGGGTTTGTGGGGAGCCTGTAGGGCAGGTTCCCCTCACTTCCCGGTCTATGTGGCAACGTGTGGTTTGGGAAATGGGACAGAAAAGGACAGGCTGGAGGAGGGTCTCACCATAAATGCAACGTGACTGTTCCAGTGCCCTGGGGGCTGAACGCTCTCACCTGGGCATGACCTGCCCATAACCGCCAGCATCGGAGTCTGGGACCTGAGTGTGGGAAGCTGCCCAGGCTCCCTCCGTCCAGCCCCTCTTGTCCCAGGTGAGGAGAGGGGCTCCGGGAGTCAGGTGATGGCTGGATGGGACCTGGGACAGGAACGCAGGCTTTCAGACCCAGGCTCCTCAGGACATGGGGTCACTTTTCCCCACAGGCTACCAGGTTCATTTTCTGGTCATCTGAACATACGTGTTGTCTATGAACCAGTATTTTCTCAGTCTGAGGTGTCAGGAGCGAGTCCGTTTTAGGCTGGCTTTCTGGGCACGGCTCTCAGTCCATGTTGTAGCTATGAGGGCGGCCTTGATGGTCACTCCGCAGAAGGAAGCAGGGCCCCTGGGGGTCGCCACAGGGCCATTTCTCCTTCACCTAGAGCCTCCATTCTGCCTGCTCTCAAATGTAATAACCAGGTCAAGGATTCTTATTTTTAAAACACAAACACCAAAGAAGGTGGTAAGGCCGAAGTAAATGGTGCAGATCTAACATCTCAATCTAGAAAGAAACTTGTGTCTGTACTACACCGAGGAATCTAGCACTAACAGATGTGCAGGCAAAGGCCTATGTGCTGGACACCCAGGAGCCTCACGGAGCCTCTTGGCGTCAAAATCAAGCAGCTTTCTAGGCTAAATGGAATGGTTCATAACATGAGATTCTGAGCACTGAACTGCATGGTGGAATGATCCACATTAGTTTTCTAATTGAATGTAACAGACTGATTTATTTTCTGAAAAATAATGATATCTCCCCTCCCTGTAAAACTGAGATGTGTCACTTATATTACCTGAATTATCAGAACATTAACATCTGTAAAACGAGCGGCCTTCCCAGGGGGAAGCTTGGATTCCTGTGGACCGAGGGGAGCCGCTCTTGTTGAGCAATGAGTTGTTGGCAGATAAGTTGGAGGCACAGTGACGAAGGCCAGTCCCGGGTCAGTTCTTGATGGCCATGGTCCAGAGGAGTGGGCAGTCTGTCTCCACTGTCACGACCCCTGATCCGTCGTAGGTGTTGGAAGTGCTGACCAGTGTCCCAAAGCTGAGCACATGATTTGCTGTGAGGAAATAAGAAAAATGTTTGGTGAGAGCCAGCCCTTCTGCAGTGTGCAGCAGCTCTGTCAGCAGCTACCAGAAAGCAACTAAGCAGGTGCCGTGGTAGAAGGTATGGAAATGTGGGGAAGGCGCAGTCAGGACGTGGGACTGAAACCAAGCGCTTCTAACGTGCTGTGGCCACTCCTCCTGGGGCTGGTTACTGGTTACTGACCATCCGGATATATGCCTTTCTCATACCAACTGCATTAACGCTTTTTCTTTTTGTTACCAACGGTAAAACCAAAACCCACTTCTGAAATGTGTGGCTTGGTTCCTTGCCTGGTGCCATTTTGATTTTTCTTGATGATTTAGAACATTCTATGTCAGTTACTAAACTCAATAGTGATTCTGTTTTAGCTTCAAGTATAAATATCAGGCAGAAAACGAACTGCTTCAAGAAACCATAGGATTTTGATCTTTCTTTCCTGATAAATTAAGAAAAGCCAAAACGGACAAGGCTTATTTTCTGTGAAATTAATAGGAACCCAACAGTCGGAGCAGACTGCCAAGGGCGTAACCTTGAGGGAACCACTCACGCTCAGCTGCAGAATGGGGCGAGATGAGAGCGGTCCAGCAGATGCCCTCTTTAAACCACCTAATTGTCCAAGCAAAGGCTTACGAGCGAAACTACCTAATAGGAATTACTTATTCATAAGTTACACATGCATAAATCGACATGACGTATCCTAACACGAAGGCTGGAGTCGATGCCCAGGCACCGAGCGGTAACCGCACTGCTCTCTGCTTATGTAAGAGCAGGTCACTTCACCAACATAACTGTTTTATCATTTTTTTCTAAAATTCAAAGAGAAAAATAAACAAATGCAATGGGGCCCACCTGTCAGAGTCAGAAGACGATGCAGTTACACTGTTTTGGGGGAAGTAATTCGATTGTAATGCTCACTTCCCACTAGAGGGAGCCTGTTATCTTTCCGAGGAGATCTTTGAAAAGGCAATTTTAAAATTTAGATTATTACAGGATGACGTATAATGAGTAACACCAGGTCACACGGTTTACTCATTATGACTGAAATTATTACTTCTCCACAGCTGTCAGCACCTGCACCGATGTGGATATGAAGTTGTGAAGTAAAACTGGCTGGGATTCTACGCAGGCACCGTGAGTAGAAACTCAGTCTGCCAAGGTCCACGAGCTGGTGGCTGTGCACCCCCCCCTTCCTCACACTCGCGTCCCCAGGGGTCCAGCCGCACAGGGACTTTACCTGGCTCGACCAGGAGCGAGTGACTCTCACAGGCGCTTCCCTAACGTGTAATTTAGCACAGGAAGATCTGAGGTGACGTTTCTAAGTGACAGTGATATGCACGTACATTAAATGTACAAATGCAGACACTGCTGCCTGGAGTGGGAGAGGGGGACGGTTGTAGAGACTCGCTGCAGGGTGACCTTGGAGTCTGGTGAAGAAAGAAGGCTCGGCTCTCCCGCCCTGCAGCCCAGGCCTAGGCTTTCAGGGTTTTCCCGACAGCCAGCCGGGGAAGGGCTGGGGAGCAGTCCAAATGCTTCAAACCGCTTATTCACAGGGCACATGGGTGCTCCGTGGCCTGCTAGCTTTAGAGTGGAGGCTCCCTAGTGAGGAGCCAGGCATGCACGACCTACCCGAGTCTGAGCCCAGGTAGAATCCCTGTGCAGCTGGACCCCTGGGGACGCGAGTGTGAGGAAGAGGGGGACGGGTGCACAGCCACCAGCTCTTGGACCTTGGCAGACTGAGTTTCTACTCACAGTGGTGCCCATGTAGAATCCCAGCCAGTGGCTGCAGAGCCAAGACAGCGGCCAGTCTGACTCGGGAGCTTGGCAGGTCACAGATCTGCCTGATTTGGGACCTCAAACCTTGGAGCTGGCGGGGCTGCTCCTCCCAGGCAGGGGAGCTGACCCAGCCCCGCCCAATGCGGAGTGTAGGCCCCAGGAAGCCTGGCCTGGGCACCTACCAGGGAAGCCGCCTAGCCCAGCAGCCCTTGTGCAAAGAGCCTGGCCAGCAGCACTGCCATGTGCAGAGCCAGGGAGCTGGTGCACAGTTCTGCTTGATGTGCCCATTCTGTGGCCCCAACTAGGTAGGGAAGATAATTTACAATCCAGTCCACTGTTGAATAGGACCTCCACCCCCATTTAACCAGGAAACCCAACCAGAGCACCAGGAATCAACACGGGCCATCCTGAGCCCCAATTACAGTGGCCTTGAGTGCAGAGCCAATAGAGTAGCCGTTTGGCCAGGAACGTGGTGCTTAATTCTGCCTAATTTGATCCCCAGACAAGAGCGTGTACAGCTATCACACCCGGGCAGGGAAACTAATTTAGAGCCCTGCCTCCTACTGAACGCAGCCTTCTGCCTACCCGACCAGAAACCTAACCAGAGCCCATCCCGCAGTCCTGCTTACAGGCACCTGTGCCTTCTCCATCTGCAGAGCAAAGCTGGTGGCTCCATGGAGCCAGGGAATTTGACACGCAGTCCTGCCTGATTCAGGTCCCCAAACAAGGGGTCTGTTTGCAGCACCACCCAAGCAGGGAAGCAGATTCATAGCCCTACTGCATGCAGGAAGCCCAACCAGAGAATCCAGGCACCTGTGCAGCTCATCCTACAGGTTGGCAAGTAACCAAGACAACACATGGGACATTTTCTAGGATAGGTCATACGTTAGGTCACAAAACAGGTCTTAGCTAATTCAAGAAAAGTAATATCAAACCAGTTGTCTCTGACTACAGTGGTATAAAACTAAAAATCAATAACAGAAGAAAAACTGGAAAATTCATGAATCCATGGAAATTAAACAAGTCTCCTGAGCAACCAGTGGATCAAAGGGGAAATAAAAAGTATTCTGAGGCTAATGAAATTGGAAATACAGCATACCAAAACTTACAGGACGCAGCAAAACCATCTTATGAGGGATTGCCCTTGTGGGCTCTGGAGCAGTGACCCAGTGCAGGGGGAGCTGGAGTCCACCTTGGGGCTGTTACTGACCCCTGGAGAAGCCACAGACTCAGGGGAGCCCAGCTGGTGAGAGTTGTTTGGGGTGGGGCGGCTCCTCCTACCTTCTCCCATGTCTGTCTCAGTCTTGACGGTTTGGGGGCTGCTCCAGCCTCACCTCGTGTTCCAGGATCCTCACAACAGTGTCTTGCCCGTGGATAGTGGTTATTTGGTCTTGTGAGGGGACTACAGGGAGGAATGACCTGTCTCCACTCGATGGCATCGCTGCCTCAAATTCTTCATTTCCACCCCAGAGGACTTGGCCCAAACTCGGGCTGGCTGAGCACTCAGTTCAATGTTTAGGACATTTAGCTTCAATTTCTCCCCCTCACTGTTTGCAGAGATAACACAATTGTTCTAAGACAACCATTCAATCAAGTCCTGTTTTAGCCAGATAAAAATCAACGTCATAGCTAAACGTAAACTATAAGGAAGCACCATAGACGTGTGATAAACACAACCTAAAACTGCCTCACCTTTTGCTGCAAAGCCATCGTCATCAATTGTTTTAAGGATAACTGGAGTCTAATGAGAGGCCTGCCCCAGTGGAATTTAACATGAGTTATATCAGGGGACAGAGCATAGCCTGACTTTTGGTTTTTCATATTTTAGAGAAATAGAACTTCAAAACATGGGAAACATTAACATAAACTTTGCAATTTTCACCTATTATCTCAAACTGTTCTCTTTCCCAAAGGTGCAGATGAGAATTAGGTCCTTACGGTTCCACAGCTTCAGTGACTTCTATCAGCTTTTGTCCCAAACCAATAGACCCAATTCCTATAACCTTCCCACCCCAAGCATCCTGGCCTGGCCTCAGAGGCCCTTCACACCTGCTGCCCCTCCCTGCTTGCCAGCTATGCCAGGCTACTTGCCCCGTCTTTAACAGATCAGGCACTGCCCGCTCCCATGAACAGTTCTGATGGGCCTCTCTTCCAGCACATGCCCGATCTTTTCTACGCTTGCTGTGTCCTTCAAGGCTCATGTCCAATGTCGCCTTCTGGCCTGAAGAGCTCCCTTTGGTTTTCTACCTACTACCGGTGGATGATAATTCCTCTTCTATTTATAAACGACTTGACTGCTTCCCTAGAACATACTTTGTGTTAAAGGCTGGCTGTGAAGACTCCTAGTCCAGGCCCAGCAAAGTACAGGGTGAGCCTGAAACATCTTGTTCCAAAAAGCAAGAGAGAGCTAAAAAAAAAAAAAAAGTCGCGCACTTTATTAGGTAGAGAAGAATACTGAGAGTGATGCGAAATGATACATCACATGATCAAACGAACCCCACAGGCAGGGAGAGGAAACCTCTTCTGCAAGACGAGTGCCAACGACTAAAGGGCTGAGCGATGGAGCCAGAGGTTAGGCACCATTTGCGGCTGCCAGTGTGATAACTGGCTCGGGCAGGATCATCTATCAAGGGAGCAAGATATTTACAGTGTCAAAGTACCACTCCATGTATTACTTTTACTTTTAACTTTGAAAAGAGGTAGCAGACAGAGCTCATGACTATCACCTTAACCAAAGGATCCAACTCAGCACCACCAGGAGAGGGACAAGCGGCCCTACGTTCGACGCTGGATGAACAAAACACAGCACCACTTACATAATGTGCCAGAGTGCCTAAGCTGAGTCTAACCAGGGAAAACGGTCAGGCCAGTGCAGAATGTGGGACACCTGACCGGTCAGCTGGCCTGGGCTGTTCGAGCTGTCACTGTCAAGGAAGGAAGACCAAAAGGTGTGTGTGGGGGTGGCTTTTCTGGATTAAAAGACACTAAACAGACATGACATCTAAATACAATGCATGATTTTTAAAGACTTTTTAGTGGATTTAAAAAATGTTATAAACAGCCTCGCTGGGAACCTTAAGGGCTATGATCTGGGCTCTGAAACACTATTCTGTCAATGCTGTTCTTTGGAGTAGATAAAGGCACCGTCATTATGTAGAATATTCTTGGTCTTGCGCGATCAACCTGAAGCTTTTCGGGGTT